TATTGTAACTCTACCTCATGGTCATGCTGAGCTGTGGCCCTCATCCTGTTAGGAAGCGAGAAAAGCCTCTCACACGTTTTTCCAAGGCAGGAAAGTTAGACCTGTTTGGGGGAGGTTCTAAGGTAAATAATGCCCTCTCTCAGGAGGACAGAAGTGGCCCAAAGCAAGGACCCAGCACAAAAAGAGTGTTGAAAGTTAACCTTCCAGAGCAGGTTCTACCTGCTACATTTTATTGACCCATAATTCTTTTATGTGGGATTCCCAGTCTAGCCAGACGTAAGATTTCTTTATTAAGAGCATTTCACTGGGGGTTGTTGTTTAAAGCGAAGTCATGTGCCGGGGGAAGGTATGTCTCTTGGCCTTTCCTCTCCCCCAGCTCTCTCTGCAGAGGCAGTTGGCGGCATTGTGATCCCTGGAACACAGAGGCCTCGAGGAGCATTTCGGTGTGTCGGTCTGCCCACCGTGATGGCTGGAGACTTGGAATAGGCCAGAAGAATCCCTACATAGATCTCGGGGTCACAGTGCAGGGTTACAGCCCACTTGTCCTGGATGGCCCAGGTTGTAACTCCAGGTGCTGCTGGACATCAAAGTCAAGGCACCAGGTAGTCTGAACCTCCACGTGCTGTTGAACGTTATCATGGTGGCTCTTGTCTGTGACTGTCCACTGGATTTCCCGATGAGTTTCAAAATGAATATCTGTGCTTGAATTCTATCTGTCCCTTCTGGAGCGGGGCCTGGATGTCAGGGCTGTTTATGGGATACCATGCATCTTGTAGTCGGGGATGACAATCCCTAGTCTAGGGCGCTGTGGGCTATCTAATTTAGTGGCATCTGGGACAGTCCATTCAAATTCTCTATGAACCGTGATGTGGCAGACTTGAAAAAAAAATCAGGAAGAATAGTTCTGATCCTGCCTCAGTGGAACCAACTGTTAGGTTGTGTAAAATGTCTAATAACATGAGGGTAGACATTGGACTGCTAGGAAGGGGCTTAGGGAAAAGAATGGAAGACACGGAAGGAGGGCTTGTGAGTGCTTATGGGTAGGATTGTGGGTTGGGGACATAAGTAGCGTATCAATTCTTTTGACACAAATTGTCTACATTTATGGGACAACAGAACAGCTTATCCCTGGGTCTGTACAGATCAGGCAAGTGTTAGAGACACACAAGGAGCCCCCAGATGATGAGACTAAGACCCATGGAGGGGGAAGCGGTGGGGCCCTTCTATGACTAGCCCATAGGCTGGAAACTTCACGGAGCTGTTTCTCTTATGTACTTGTTCTGGTCATGTCTCTGCTTGACTGTCAGGTCCCCCGGGGACCAGGAGCTGCCAGGTAAGGAACAGCTGGTCTCCCCTTTGCTCATCCAACCACTTCCTCTAATCACAGTGGAAGGAAAGCTGCATTGCCCCACCCCACCCCAAGAAAAGATGCCCCGAGAAAAGTCTTTCTTTAAATTAAAAACTGAGTATGTGTGTGAAAGCTTTCCCACCAGAGTGACATCTCCAGCTCTAAAACCTTGTGAGCCGCCTGCTGCCTGATTTCCACACACTGCATGGGACGGACACCGGGGACTGGAGCTGGCTTTGGCCTCCCGCAGTCAGAGCCTTCCAGCCTGTCATTAGAGTTGAGGGCCAATTGTCACGGGAGGAGCCTTCTGTACTTGAACCTCTTTTTGCGCCGCCCACCACAGCCCCTCTCTGCTTCACACTCTCCACGCTATGTGAGTGAGAAAGCTCAGGAAGTTGACTCTGTCTCTCCTGTGGGCTGTGCAGTGCTACTTGGAGACAGTTTCATTTAGGCAGTAAAATCAGTGAGTTGTTCTTGGCAAAGGTCTAATGAAATGGAAACCTTGAGATTTGCTTAGGGCTGGAAGTACGGTCTCACACTGCACGTTGGGAAGGACTCTGGGGTGTAGGTGATCTGAGGAGTGCATCTGATTTGCCTCTAAGCACTGCAGAACTTAACTGTCTCATTTGGCTTGAGGAAGAGGGTCCCGGGCTTGAGATAAAAGAAGTTGCAGCACTGTGCAGAGGACAGTATTTTCAAACTGCCCACCAGCCCAGCAGCATCGGGTACTGTTGAGGGACTTGCTAGAAGGGCACACGGTTGAACCCCATTCCAGATCTCCAGGGGATTCTGCTCCATACAGCTTTGAATCCCTGGTTCAGTATGTTGTAGTTGTTTTCTCGTATGAGATTTGCATGCATGCTTTGGGGACCAGAGGTCAACCCTGGGTATCTTTCCTTAGATGCTGTACACATTGCTTTTTTTAAAAAAAAAAAATGAGCCATGATCTCTCTCTGGCCTGAAACATACCAAGTAGGCTAGACTGATTGGCTAGTGAGCCCCAGGAACCCTTCTGTCTCTGCCTCTTCCCCAGTGTTGGGATTATAAGCATGTGCCACCATGTCTGACTTTCATGATTGTGTGGCAAGCTCTTTACTAACCGAGGCATCTCCTCATCCCTGCCATGGCTTTAGGTGTAGAAGAAAGGAAGATGAATAAGAATGAATGAATATATATATATATATATATACATATATGTGTGTGTATATACATACATATATATATATAAAATGATTATGTGTGTGAGTGTGTGTGCGTGTGTGCATGTGTGCATGTGTGTGCACATGCCTGTGCAAGTGCCGCTAAGGAGGGTCTGCCTCATCTGAATCTGTGCTGGCCAAGGCAGTCCTGATCTGTGTGGCTCAGGAGAAGGGATGCTGCACAGATCAGTGTTTAGAGTGGGTCCTTTCAACTCTGGCAGCTTCAGCTCCTTGTGAGAGGTTCGTCTTGTTTTCCTGACTGTGCATAGGAGGGGCACCCAGCAGGTACCCCAGGCAGGAGACACAAGCTGTTTCAGTGCCGCTGGCATTATCTCCCGGGACAGTCCTCTGCATAGCCCCGCCCCCAATGAATATTTACGCTATTAGAATGATAAATTAAGCTGGGCATTTTAATCCCAGTACTCTGGAGACGAGGGAGGTGATTTCTGTGCGTTCTAGTCCAGCCAGGGCTACATAGGGAGACCCTGTCTCAAAAGTGACAAATTAAAAAAAGTTCTACTTTTTAATTTGATTTATAAATCTTACTGAACAGCTTGTATTTGTACACACTGTTAAGAGGATTTTGAATTATATTTAGGCTCATTTACAAATGTGGTTTTTATTTCACCGTTAAATATCTAGTACTGTCTTAGAAATGTAGCACATTCAATTTCACTTTCAAGTTCTTTTGGCTATTTGAAATTAAGCCTTTCTCTCGAGTATGAGATTGCATAAATCACTCTTCTTAGCCTGGCGGCCTGGTCTTACAGGTACAGGAAGACCTGAGCTCTCGCTTCACATGCCGATACTGCTTCTAAGATGAACATTTATAATCAGAATAAAAAATCAAATCTGTGAGATAGTCTCTCGGCTTCTCTAAAATGTTGCAAGTTTAGGATGGAAATTTGCGAGTCTCCACTTGCCGTCATTAATGCTACCCACGGAACTGGTTCTTTTTTGTCTTGGTGTTTAGTTCTAAATGTCCTCAAGGAAGGACAAGATACATTTTCCCATTAGGAATATCGTGTTCCCCCGCCACGGTTTGAAGGGTGCCTCCACAGTTGGTCACCACACTGCCCCCCTTTGCGCTTTGGAGATAGGTTCTCACTTATCCCAGGCTAGCCTCAAACTCTTGATCCTCGTGACACAATCTCTCAAGCCGGAATCATGTGTGCCACCGCAGCTAGTTCAAATGGACTTTATCGAGATCCGTTTACTATGTCTGAGTGTTCTGCTTGCGTGTATGCCTATGCACCACCTGTGTGCAGTGCCCAAGGAGGTCAGAAAAAGGAGTTAGAGTCCCTAGAACTGGAGTTAGCAGACGGTTGTGAGCTGCCATGTAGGTGCTGGGAGATGAACCCAGTCCTCGCAAGAGCAATAAGTGCTCATAACCCTTTAGCTGAGGTGAGGCATCTCTCCAGCACCACAAAAGGACTTTAAGAGGGTGGTTTTAGGGCTTCAAATGTGGCTTGATTGTAGAGTACTTTTCTAGCATGTCACAGTCCATGGCAGGTTCAACCCCGTGTGTGTGTGTGTGTGTGTGTGTGAGAGAGAGAGAGAGAGACAGAGAGAGAGAGAGACAGAGAGAGAGAGAGAGAGAGAGAGAGAGAGAGAGAATCAAATGGCATAGGACCTGCAAGATGGCTTAGTGGATAAAGATGTTTGATCGCTGAAACCAACAAAGTAGAAGGAAATAACTGACTCCCAAAAGTTGTCCCCTAACCTCCTCATGCATGCTATGATGCACTTTTATGTCTATGTGTCCGTGTGTATATGCGTGTGTGCATACACGTACATACACACTACATATAAGCAAATGATAGTAAACTAGTCCATCTTCTCTGAAATGTTGGAATAAATAAACACAAGGGCACATATGTGTATCCCACAGCAGTTTTAACCCCACTGCGCTGGTTTCGTGTCAAATTGACACAGGCTAGAGCCATTTGGTAAGAGGGCCTCTCAGTGGAGAAAATGGCCTCATCAGATTGACCCGTAGGATATTTTCTTAATTACTGACTGAGGGGGGAGGGCCCAGACCACTATGGGCAGTGCCACCCTGGGCCGGTAGTCCCGAGTTCTATAGAGAGCAGGCTGAGCAAGCTAGTAAGCAGCATCCCTCCGTCATAATCTCCCCATCAGTTCCTGCCCTGACTTCCCTTGATGATGCCGTGATCTGCAAGGTGAAATCAGCCCTTTCCTCCACGAATTGTTTTTGGTCCTGGTGTTTTATCCCAGTCACAGAAATCTTGACTAAGACACTGGCCCACCCAAACCTCCCAATACAACCACTCACTGGGAGATTTGTAAGTCAGGTGGTGACTCGCTGTGGGCCTCGGCGACGACCGGAAGGAAAGCACTAACCTAGACATGGCAAACCAGAGCGCTGTCACTTCACCGCCGGGTCACAAGCAGGAGGATGACCAACGTCTTCTTCTCTCCTTTCCGGGTAGGTTGGCCTCATCCAGCTCGAGCAGGAGCAGGTCTTCATCCAGCCCCTCAACAACTCGGGAGGCCCATTCAGTGGAAGAGAGCACCTTGTCAGGCGCAAATGGTCCTCTGCCCCCAGCCCAGCTACCGAAGTCGAGGAACCCAGGCAGCCCTGCAAAGTCGTGACAGGTGAGTCTCGGCAGCGGAGGGGTCGGAATGGCGCACACGGAGCTGACACCCTGTGGGCTCACGTGTGCTGAAGTGAGTACTTGCCTTCTTTGGACCGTCACGTGCCACATGATGGCAGGGATGTAGTTCAGAGAAGGTCTTTATTAGTCGATGTCCTTACTACTTGAACATCATGGAGTGATGCATTTAGACTGAGATGACGACAGTCTCACCAGCTGGTAGAATCTTAGAGGACCACAGCTGCATTTATCAGCTATTGTTAGTAGAAATTGCTGTTGGCCTATGAGGATATTTTGGAAGATGCTCTATTGTCCCCAAAGCCGCCTTCTTTCTGTGTATATTAGTGTTGACATTTCAGAAGCCCTTTGAGAAGTTTTATATCTGCAAGGAACCCAAGGATCTCATTGAAACAGAGCCTTAGTTTTCTGTTTTGTTTTTCCAAGATAGGATTTCTCAACGTATCCCTGGCTGTCCTGGTTTGTAGACCAGGCTGTCCCTGAACTCAGAGATCCATCTGCCTCTGTCTCTCAAGTGAGGGGATTAAAGGTGTGTACCTTAATGACCAGCTTCAGAGCCTTAGTTTTAAGCATTAGGAACAAGTAGAAGCCAGAACACCTTATTACCAAGCACCAGGTTGGCAGCATAGCTGGGATACAACTTTCCCAGATGAGCCCCTAACGCCAAACTTACCTGTATTTTCATATGTTGGTCCTCCTCCTCAGATGCTGTAGTGAGAGTTGCCTGGGCAACCTATGAAACCCTGGGCCAGCAACATCTGCAGTGCCTGGAAATTTTCAGTACATCTATCATCCAGCATCATGTCAGACCTGCAGTGTCTAGAGTATCATAGCCTGATCTAGCCGCTGGGGATTCAGATACATGATCATGTTTGAAAACCACTGCTTAAAAAGGGCTATTTAGGGAACTGGGAAGATGGCTCAGTCGGTAAAGTGCATGAGACACAATCATGAGGACCTATAACCCACATAGCGAACAGGGCATGCAGGTGCATGTCTGTAACTCCAGCACTGGGGGGCAGGGACAAGTGGATTTCCAGAGATGGCTGACCAGTTAGCCTTGCTGAATTGGTGAGTGTCAGGTTCAATGAGAGGTCTCAGGAAATAAGGGGGTAACAGGAAGTTGCCTGCTGTAGACCTCTAGCCTTCATGCACTGAAATGCACATTGAGAACACATAGATACACCCCTTCCCCCAGTGTCATTTACTTAGCTGTTGGGTTGTCGGGTGTTTAAGACTATTTCATGGTACTATGTCACTACTAGTCTGCTTGGAAATGCTCCCTGGCACAGTTGGATAACTGTATTGTCCAGGCGGCACTTCCTCCTGGGATGGGACCTGCTTCTGTAGCTCTGGGTTTATCTTTCTATGCAGACTTAATGTGACTCAGTTTGGTGTTCTAGTGACTTTAGACCTATGTCAGGATTGCTTTGCATACAGCTCAGCCATTGCCTGTGGTAAAGATGGTTCGCAGTGACCATGATGAGTAAGTCCAAGGAAAAAGAATGCTGCCCAATTACAGAATTTTTCTAAATTGCTGTCCACTCCCTTAACAAAAGTAGAGAACGTAGACCTCAGCATAAAATAAACAGTCACTCAAATACCCTTTAATGGCATTCAGGGCCTTTTGATTCATGGGTATGAACTTGGTAGTTTGGTTTCATTGGATCATTTTTTTCCCCATTGCTTTGTAGTGAGCAGCTGTTTATGGCGGTAAATGTATGCTGTCTGCAGCTGATCTGCATGTACAGGTTCAGAGGTTGTGACTTTACTGTGGTCCTTCTCAGACCTATTGGCGTGTTGGCTTCAGGTGGTGAGCTTATAGCTTTTCTGGAGCACATCCTGAACATCTGACCATGACAATCCCCAAGTGGTTGTGGGAGGAGGAAGGCCGCTTGTTTGTTTCTCGATTGCTCTGCCGCGAAATAATCACACAGAAACTATATTATTTAAATCACTGCTTGGCCCATTAGCTCTAGCTTCTTATTGGATAACTCTTACATCTTAATTTAACCCATTTCTATTAATCTTTGTATCACCATGTGACAGTGGCTTACTGGCTAAAGTTCCATCTGGCCAGTGGGGCTATATGGCTTCTCCCTGACTCCACCTCCTTTCTCCCAGCATTCAGTTTAGTTTTTCCCACCTAACTAAGTCCTGCCTTACTATAGGGCCAAAGCAGTTTCTTTATTCATTAATGGCAATCACAGCAAACAGAGGGGAATCCCACATCAGGTGGTACTAACATTTGCCTGGTGGTGAACACCACCCACTGGCAGGGGTGTCCAACTCTTTGATGTTGGGATATGCAGTTGTTAATCTGTAAGTGTATTGAGGATATCCATCGTTATCCTGGGAAGCATGTGGTGTGCAGGTTAGACACTCCTCCAGGGAATACTCAGCAGAAGGGCAGCATCTGTGAGTCATTGAGAGGGAATTTTCTCAGACAAGAATCTCCACATAGAGCCACACAGTGATGTGCAGGGCAGATGGGTTCTTTTCTCCTCACTCAAGCCAGCACCCCATCAGCTGCCAGTCTGTGACCCGCGGCCCGGCATGTCTGCCAGTGAGCTAATGGGATGTTTATCTGATGATCTGCTTCCATCCTCTTCGAGGGAGTGACAACTAGAATTGCTGAGCAAATAACAAATGGTGCTTGTGTTTGCATTTTTTGTGCTCGCTGCTGGTTTTGGAACACACTTTGGCCTGCTTAGCCATTGACGGAGGAAATAAAATGAGCGGTCAGGGTGGGGTGGATGTGGTAGAAACTATGAGCAGCGAGGCAGGCTGCAGAGAAATCTCTGAATGGCCTCAAACAAGTTTTCCTTTCTTTCTCCCAAATCTTACAGCGGCTTTCTCCATGGTGTAGGCGCACGAGTGTGTAGCTCAGATCGAACACACGCCTCTGGAGGTAGGGCGTGACACTGAAGACGGAAATGTACCTTGCTTTTGGTCCTTTTGTCTTGAATGACATCCTCAGTCCATGCTTCTACCATGTTGACAATGATGTTGGGCCTTTTTCTGGACTTAACTACTAAGACTTTTCTCATCCAGATTAACTTTCTAACCCTGGGCTGTAGAACTCTGGGAAAATTAACTTCCTGGCACACTAGCAAAGTACATCCTTGAAGTTTTCTATAAAGGGTTATCAGATTAATCCCAGGGTAGCGTGTTCTGTTTAGCTGAATAAAGTGACTATAGGTTAACTGAACCTTGTTATTGACCCTTTATTACTTGATCCCTAGACTTGACCCCAGAATGATTCCTTCAGGTGAGGAGGAATCTAACAGGTCTGTCCTGAGTCTCTGAATCTACCTGAAAGATGAGCTTCAGTAATTGTCTAGTAGCTTGTGTCTGGATAGACCAACACAGCCAAGGTCCCCACAGGGAGGAAGAACTTCCTTCACAGAGATGCTACTGAGCTTCCATTTCTGGGAAACGTCATGGGCTCCTGGTGAAGGGACAGGCTGATCCTTTTCTCTCCCAGGAATTTCTTTTTAAAAATCCATAATCTGATCCACAAAATAAAACTCTAGTTTGCAATATGGCAAGGAAATATGGGGTCTACAGACTTCTTTGTTTTGGGTACAATCATGAAGGCCCTCCTTTTTTGTTGGTCTTTTTTTTTGACAGCTAAAATGGCACTTCAGATATGTTGAAATGCTCCTTGAATATTAAGTGGTCCTTTTGACCTCAAAACTCTGTCTTTTTTTATGTTTGTTTTAATTTCTCCATGTTCAATCTAGAATCTTCCACAGCTGTCTTCGAGGCATCAAGCACCAGTTTGACTTCTTTACTGTGGTTGGTGTGTCACATGCATGGGGTAGCAGTAAAAGAGAAGATAAGTTTGCAAAGAGGCATTTTAAAAACAGGAACTCATCACGGTTTTGAGTGATGATGAGCTCATTAGAATATGAGTCTGCCCCAGACCACTGAGGTGTGTTTACAAAATTCTGTTGTAACTGCTTTGCATAATTATTAGTTGTTTTCTAGTATCATCTGGTACACATATAGTAATATAAAGTCATCTTTGATGAATTTCTAAAAGAGTACTGTGACATTTTAGAAATTGTGTATGCTAATTGATATAAAATTTGCATGTCTAATCATGCATATATACGCTAATACATAGCTGGCCAGGACTTGGGTTTCATCTCAGCTAAGATTCATCAGTAGAAACAAAAGCAATCCTACTGACTTAAACACTAGAAACACTGGCCTGGGCTCACAGGGTGGATGGGGAAAGCAGGATGTTGGACTTCAGGTTAGGTGTGACCGATCTTATTTTTATATAATCTCTTAGTCCCCAGCTTTCTCCTCTCATCTGACAGAGGCAGCTCGGTGAGGGAAAGGTGTTCTACTGAACTGGGATATGAGGTAGGCTGGTTTGGGTTACTGTCAGGTTACTGCTTTCTAATGTGTGGAGTCAGGATCTTATCTGCTTCCGGAAGCTTGCAGATCCCAGTCCCCAGGTGACTCTGCTGCACATTCCTCCTGCTCTCCCCACCCTGGCTTCCTGCAGGCTACCATGCTCTAGGCTGAAATGTGGTGCTTTGTAGGCTTATGCATGCTCCCCTGGGGCTAACCCCACAGTTGATGATGTGAAAGCTTCCTTGGTTCCCAGCCTGGGGGTGTCAAACTTCCTCGTCAAGGGGGAGATGCTGAGGGAGCTCCTTCCGCTCCTTCAGCCAATAGCCGCTGAAATACCAGCCCATTGGGGTGTGGTCTCTCAGTGGCTATTGGCTGAAGGAGCGGAAGGAGCTCCTTCAGCATCGTCATATAGCTTGCATATCAGATATTTATATTATAATACATAGCAGTAGTAAAATTACAGTTATGAAGTATTGATGAAATAATTTTATGGTTGGGGGTCACCATACCATGAGGGTATTAAAGGGTCACAACATTAGGAAGGTTGAGAATCACTGCTCTAGACTTTGAGATGTTAGCTCATTGGTTAGAGTTTAATAATTAATAATAATA